GTGTATTGTATCTCCCAAACCAAATGAAGACCACCACTATTTATACTAGAAGAAGTCTTCCTAGCCATGAATAGGAAGATAATGGTGTAGTAAATAGTGAAGATAGTGATCTTACGAGTTACATATGTTACAAGGTATAATGGAGGAATAAAGAGTCAGATAATGGAGAAATAATATGGAGAACTTATGGCCAAGATGCCACTAAACGATGCTGCAAGAGAAACAATCAGTAACATCAGCACTTACTCCAAATGAAGTAATGCTCCAAATATATTTCCAACCGTTAAGACAAATGAATTACCACCAACGGATAACTTGACAGCAAAGGCACCATTTGACTCCAAACTTTTAACAAATTAATATATAAAATATTAATATTAAAATGTTGACCAACAAAATCCATCTTTCTCCATCCTACTTGAACAAGGCTTTATGGATAAAATAGTAAGTTCTATTTTTTTTTCCTTGATATTTATGTCGTTGCTTTTGTAACTGAGTTTTTCCTTAACTTGTTAGCGAATGCCGGCTGCTTTCGTCAAAGAACACAAGAAGATGTTGGCTAAGACGGCCTTACTGAAAACAGATGAAGGGATGATTTGTAAAGCTAAGATGGTGAGGAATGCATCTGATTATTTAATAGGTGAAGGAGACTGGCCACTGTTTGTGTTACATCACAAGTTGGAGGTAGGAAACATGTTGATCTTCTTTCTCATCAACAAGTCCACCTTCCAAGTCCTGCTATACTCAAAGAAATGTCTTACCAACATTAGACATTTTGAGGAATTTAGCAGTTCGGAAGATGAGGTAGAAAACATTAATGAAGCATCAACAAGATCAAAGAAAGTAAAAATGGAGGCAGTGCAATTATCAGAAAAAAGGGTTGATCCATCAGGTGGCTCCAAAGATGGGGGAAATCCATGCTATTCACATTTAGGTAACCTTTGTTGGGTATTCGCTATGAGTTTTTTTTTTTTTAAAAATCAAAACTGAGTTTTTCTTTTAGAAAAAGGAAAACATAAAGTGTCCATAATTGATTGGTCTTTCTCTAGTAGAAAAGGTTTATGACATTAATCATTATAAATAGATGTTTATTCCTTTTGACGTGATAACATTCACAATTTAGTCCTAAAGGTTTTGAGAGTTTTGTGTAAGGGAAAAATGGTGTGATACAAGTGTTATGTTAACATTTTTGTGAACCTCTTTGTATTCCGAGTCAATTGTGTAAGGTTATATAGTGAATTGCTTGTATCTTCTTTTGAATATAGGTTGATTGACCGAACCACATTAAATGTTTGTATCTTTTGATCTATTTCTCGTTTGTTGAAGTTTGTTCTGCATGCCACTTGATTATTTTTGGACGTAACAACCTTGACCTCTTTATAGTTTATATATTTGATGACAAACACAATGTTAAGTTGTAATTTTTGTTAAAACACACTTTTAGCCTAGTTACTTTTTTAACTGAGATTGCCTCCGCTAGGACTTATCTCATTGTTTGTCTTTGTTTGGTTTCATCATGAAAGTAGGTAAATCTGATGCCAAATCTTCTGAGACTAACAAAGCGAATGGAGTAAACATGGAGACAGTAATTCTTTCAGATTTTGAAGAAGAGAGGGTTGATCCATCCAGTGGCTCTGAAGATGGGGGAAATCCAGGTAAGGTCCACCTCTTTATACATTTGGTATATATAAATTGTTTTCTGTGCATGAACTAGAATCTATGACGCATATAGCTCATACTGACTACTTGGGGTTAAGTCCCAACTGCTGTTGTTTTTTTTGTTAAGTTTGCTTTTTTGGTAACTTAACACACTCTTTTAGCCTAGTTAAAGACTTGTATATATATCATCTTGAGTCCTGACTATTAAGTATGAGATTCCCTTTAAGCCCCTCTCCTGCACCTCATATAGCCATAATAAAGCTAGGGCATATCTCTGTTTGTTAGTCTCACTCTGGTTCATCATGATAATTGATAGGAGGTCAATCTGATGCCAAAGCTAATAACATGCTCGGCCTGAAGAAGAAAGCTCTCGAGACTAATGAAGCGAAAGAGGCTGCCAAGGATCCTGACAAACCTAAGAGCCCTGCAAGAGCTTTCCATGTTAAGCGAGGATGGAGGTCTGACAAGAATCCAAACAAACCCAAGAGGCCTGCAGGTGCTTTCTTCATTTTCTTGAATGACTTTAGGAAGCAGTTCAAGGAGGAGAATCCAAATAATAAATCTAAGGTCCCTATCCATATAGCTGGTGGAGAGAAGTGGAAACAGTTGTCAGATGCTGAAAAAGCTCCTTACATAGCAGAGACAAGGAAATGCCTGGATGATTACCTTAAGAAGAAGGATGCTTATAAGAAGTGAGTATTTGCTGAAGATTCTGATGAAGAGGAATCTTACAAGTCACTGTTAGATGGAGATGATGATTGAAGAAGTTTTTAATTTAATGGAAGAGGAAAATGGGGAAATATATCTTCTATACATGGCTTGTTCTTTTTACGGTGCACTACTTGCAATTTGTTTGCTTTTATTTTCGGAGGTTAAAGATGACTCTAGAGCAGCTAATACTTGTGTAGCTCAATAGTTTTATCTACATTTTACTCTGATGCTGCTTAATCCTAATTTAGCTAGGTCTTTTTCCTTCATGGCTAGTACATGGATTTCTATCTAATTCGTCTCTCAACGCCGCCCTCCTCTTCAGCAACATTACCTGTCTTTTACTCCCAACTTTAGTATAGATCAATCAATCAATCTATTGCCTCAAGTTAAATTGGTTGTGTTAGACACCCAATTTTGGTTTAACATTTTCAAAATCGCAATTTTTAAGTTTTATTTGTTGAATAGTTTAAAATACATTTTTTATAATTTTACATAAATTTATCGATATTTTTTTTTATTTGTCAAAATTTTAGAAATTTTTTATTAGTTTTCAATTTCCTATTTAAACAATAACTTAGTCATTAAGTCAAGGGCGGCGAATTAATTTTAGAATTTGGGGTTCAATTTTTTTATAGTTCATTATCTTTCTCCGGCGAACTTTTGCCGGAGCTCCGACCAGTCACCACCAAAATGAGACCCCACTGGTCAATCTACCCCTCTTCTCTCCTTTTCTCTCTTCACTGCCTATTCTCTTCTCCAACAAAACGACCACGCCAGAACGAAGGCGAGCAAAATCCCGGCAGCCGGACTCCGGCGACCTCCAAACAACCATCCAACCTCCAAAACACCACAACTCAACTAGTAGCTCACCAACGAGCACCCAAACCCCGACCAGACCTGCCCTCACAAAACCCCACTCCGAAAATAGCCACCAGACAACTCCACTCACGAGCTTCCTCCAACAAACAACAACCACCACCAAAATCCCATTTATCTTCTTCTCCGACTAGCCAAACACCGCCGTGAGCTGCCAGATCTCACACCAAACAACGGTAGCTGTGAACTCGCACAACAACACAGCCGACCAGAGGCGAAGCCAGGATTTGATGTTTGTGGGTTCTAAATTATTTTATTTTTATTTTTTTTTAAAAAAACATATATATATATATAAATTACAAACATATCATTAAAATTGCACTCGACAAGTTGTTATGTTTTGAAAACATAAATGATGCATCATTTGGTACACTTTCAAATACTTCATTTAATAATATGAAGATTTGAGTTATTTATTTCAAAGTTTTAAAATATTTTTTGGTAAAAGGTAGATACGTGTTATATTTTAGTATAACTTTTGAACATTATTTTTCTATAATCTCAATATTATTTTAAGTAAAATTAAAATTATTAAATTCACCATTAATATTGTTGGGACCTAAAGGGAAGGTTTTACTTGCTTCACCCTTGAGCCACTCTTGCCTTGAAAGTTGAAGTTCCGAGAAGGAAACAATAACTTAATTAATATAATCAATTATTAATACGTGGAACAGTCTTAAAATCAAAGATTAAAAATAAGATCTTTGAATAAATTGTTATACAGTGTAAAGACAAATAAAAAAAAAGACAAAAGGGAGAGTCGAGGAGGAACAAGTAAATAGTACTTACCAGGGCAGAGGTCTGCACTTTGACAACAAGCAGTAGCAATGAAATAGGTAGTAAAAATTAGAACCCTAACTTTAAAAAAAAATAAAAATTGGGTTTATCGTTTTATTGAATACTTCAAAAGAAATCAATAGTGAGATGTTGTTTTAGAGTATGACACTATATTTTTGTTACTTACAATTATCTATTTTGAAAGAGAAAATGGTCTAAAACTCCTCCAATCTATACACCAAATCTCAACTACACACTCCAACTTCACGAGTGTTCTATCACCCCCTGGACTATTTAAAAATGAAATAAATGACTCCTTAAATGATGAGTTGGAACAGAGAGTGCATTCACTCTCTTTGAGAGAGTGAGAAGCAAAAAACAAGTAAAAAGAATATGTTTATTATATTTTTGTTACAATTAAATAGTATTATGTATTATTTATTTATTTTTATAAGCAAAATGACACCATTTTAATGGAGGATATTACTTTCCTTTTCACTTTGGAGAAGAATCAGCAGTCCCAAACCCATCTTTGATGTATGATAAATTTTATATTTGTTAGAGAATAAGTAATGTGTAGATTCCATACACCAAACTTAATCACACTCACAGATTCGCACAAATCCGATGAACACGATGGAGAACAATAATTTTTTTCTTCAAATTTTCAGAAATTAATAAAGCCAAGAAAACAACTGAATGATTTTGAGGCAAGTATTATAGCAATCTAAAATTTGATGAATCAATTTGTGTATATATATCGTTTACAAGTTTTAAAAGAAAAAGAAAAAATAAAATAGAATAAAGATGAAAGAAGAAACAAAGAATATAAAAAAGAAAATCATTGACAACTGGCTGTGCATGTCCACCACTGCAAGTTATGAATGTGGGTGTTCAGTTTTAGGGTGTTATTTATTCCATTAAAAAATAGTTCAAGGGGGTAATAGGTCCCTGTGAAGTATAAGTGTATAGTTGAGATTTCGGGTATAAGTTGGAGGGGTTTTAGATCATTTTCTCATTTTGAAATTAATAGTCGGATGTTGTTTTGGAGTATGACACTACTTTTTTTATTATTTTCAATTATCACATTTCTATTTTATTGTTTGAAAAATAATTTAGAAAAAACTATATAGAAAAAATTGAATTAAAGGAGGGTAAAAGATAGGCACAAAGCACATTTTTAATCAAAAATAAAAAAATCCGGAGAAATTGAATTAACTAAACAAATGAATAGTTGCCAGTGAGGCTCGAACTCCCAACCAAAGAACCGAAGCTGCCCGTGCTTACCACGGCACCACAGACCTTAGTTTGATGTGGATTCGCACACAATATTTAAATATATTTGTACATGATATTTTAGTATGTATATAGGGTCTATGTAAAAGTCAGTGAGTTTGTCCGAATCCCCATTTAACACTGTAGCTCTGCCCCTGCAGCCGACAGGGACCCATCCTTTGTCTTCTTCATTGCTCCGGCGAGGATCTTCTAGCTCCGATGAACCGGAGCAACACAACAAAATAACTAGATTTGGGTCAGGTATTTTTGTTTTAGTTTCTAAATTTAAATTTTTGTTAGGTGGATATTACATATATGAGTTTGTATTTTTTAGATCTGTATCTATTTTAATTTGCTGGATTATACTTGTTATAGTTTGATTTCATTGCTTTTGTCTAAGCCTACTTCCGGTGATTATGTTACATTCATTGTTTAATTTTGTTGATTTTGATCTGATTGTTGGCTGCTCGTTTGTTTCACTGTTTCATGATATTACATTTGCCATTTTATATTCTGAAAATCATGTGTGTGATTCATTTACGGTAGTTGTAATTTTTGCATTTTTAGATACATGGGTATATGTGATAGTTTTATATTTTATTATTTTCTCCACTTTCCAATAATTTTGGATTTGTATTGCTACTGCCTTAATTATTTCTCTTTGCCTTGTTGATTCATTATTATTATTATTATTATTATTATTATTATTATTATTATTATTATTATACATTTGCTTTCTTTATGTTGTTTATTTTATTTATTATTATTTGTGAACATGTACTTATTTGAGTTCTTTTCTTTTCTGGTTTGCCACTGTTACAAATGTCTCACATTGTTTTATATCTTTTTTATTTGTTTTATCTTATATGTTAAAATGAAAAAATTTCTTCATCGGTTTTCGAGGTCTTCCCACTTTAAAAGATAGAAATTTTAGTTTAAGTTTATATTTTTGAATATTAAAATTGGCCAATGAAGAAATTACCATCGATTTCAAGGTCTCCTATGTTAATAAGACGGGTTTTTATTTTTAGTTGTTATTTGAGTTACTCATTTTTATTCATATTTATTTATTATTAATACTTTTACTAAGTGTCATTACAGGTACACGGAGTTGCTTCCATTGAAGCTATTCAAATGAAGTTCGAATTATATTCTTTATTCATTATTTTGTATATACCGATGATAGGCAAACCTTAGGCCGTTTTTTGATATTATTGTTTTTATTTTACTACTTGTGTATATTGCATGTTTGTTTAACTTGTATATTATTTTATCTCCTCCTCAATTTGAAAAGGTGAATTCAATCGGGACCCACAATTGTGGATTTCGAAGGATGCCTAACACCTTCCCTTCGAAATAACTTGAACCCCTTACCTAGAATCTAATGGTTTCGTAGATCATTTAATTGGTTTCTTAGTTTTTCCTAAAATTAGGTGGCGACTCATTTATAACTCTTTTTTCTTAAAATTCTTTTAAAATTGAATTAATTGATTATTTTTTGAGTCACCGCGACGTTTCGCCCTATTTGAATAAAGTAGGAATGTAAACAAGTTGTCTTGAGCAATCAGAGAAGCACTTTGATAAACACATTTGAATATAGCAAATCACTATATTCAATATTATCAATTTAACAAATCACTTTGATTATCATGTTTTAATACAATCTATTCATTTAATATAACAAATCAAACAATTAATAAAAAATAATGTCAACGTAATTAATTCTAACATTACTTCGATACTATTCTTATACCCTACGGATCGACGACCTTGAAATCTGTCTTATAGTCTTTCCTTCAGAATAAGGTAGGAGTAGCTAGATAATAATAATGATTATAAAGAGAATGGGGAAAACACCATCCAGTGGTTGGTATACCGTAAAGTAAATAGTCTGTGAAAAGTTTTCCACAAGTACTGCCCAATATAATTAGCTACCAGTAGTTTGAAAACACTTGAATATTGTGTAAGAATTTAAATTTGTATTGAAATTTGAAATGAAGCTTAAAAGATACTCCCTTCGTTTAAAAAAGAATGACTCATTTCTTTTTTAGTCTGTT